TCATCTGACCTTCAATTCAGCTCTGATTTGCTTCCTCTGTAATGCCCTTTCTCACTCTTCCCACCTTGGTGAGTGCTGCTCCTGTACTTACATTGTAACCACAACACAGGCTCCATTAGACTTTGTGTGACTTGGTTATCTAGACAACTACTGATTTTCCTGAGGGTAGTGTAGTTTGAATTTCATAAGTTTTTGGTAAATAGGCTTAAACAACAACAACAAAAAAAAAATTTCCAATTTCAAATCTTTTTTTTTTCAAGTGACAGAAAGTTATAAAATTACAACTGGTCCACTGGTTAGTCTTAGTTGAGCTACATAAGTGAGCAGAGCTATAAGTACTCAAATATGTGACTCCAATAGCACCACCAGCATTTCCATCAGAGGTAAGCACTAATACAGGCCTGCTTCCTTCAACAGACCACAGACTACAAAGCCCAGGTCTAAACTCCTAAGATAAGAGGGCCATGCATCTGCTGGATTTGAATTCAGCTCTCAGTAAAAGTTTCACTTTACAAAATGATCAGGAAAGCTTATGAATCTGGCGTTTTTCTGAAGGAATAGATCACAGCTTTTTGTCAGTTCTCAGAAGACCCCTTGACTTCAACATTATTAAGCATCAATGACTCACATATATGAAGCAAATGCTGAAAAGAACATGTTGATAGTTTTATGGGGAAAAAACTAAAAGAAATATTTTAAATAATGTATATGCTGTATTTTAAGTTCAGCAAAGTTAGTCTAAAATATTTATATGCCGATTATTAGTATTAATTTGATATCTCCAAATTAAGTTACTTAAAAGTTCAAAGTCAAGGTGTTCTGAATCTCTGAGTGACAGAAAAAAATAAAGAAATAAACAATGGCAGGTTTAAGAGCTATACCTTCTCACAGCTGATGTAGAAAGCTAAAGTCTAGTACAAAAAAGGCCAAAGCATGCAGGAAGTTATTATCGACCACCATGGTGTAGATTTAGGTGAACTTACTAAAGAAGGGTAAAATGAAATAGGCAAAAGAAATAAAATAAGAGAGTAACTAGAAATCCTCACTCTTCTAGCCCACTTGTCCAATAGGAACAGATGTCTATGATGATTTTTATGCCACTTTACATTCATAAGCATAAGCTCACCTAGAAAGATGTCACAGGTGAGAACACTTGATGACCTCTGAAGGCAGCTAAGAATTCAGGGCTGCAGATACAGGGGTGGAGTACTTGCCTAGTCTGCACAATACCCTGAGTTCAATCCTACAACTAGAAAAAAGGACAGTCTAGATCTAAATACCTTAAATCCATAAATTATCCAATTACAATTTTGTCAGAAAACAGCACAATGACCATGCTCAACTGTAGTGAACAGTTGGTCCAAGTACAGGAACCAGGTTCAAACAAAGGCCTGCACCTGTTTGTGCTGTGAGAGAGACAAATGGGAAACCCTCAACCACAACTGACCGAGTGTGGCTGGAGGACCACAGAACTTCGAGGGAGATGTGCTTCCATGGAGAGGCTAAAAAATGATGATTAAATAATATGCAAGGAACCCCTATGCCTGTTAAAAGAGGCCTTCTGTTTCCTTCCTTTAAAGATGATGTTGAAAATGAGTGGCCAAGCCAATAGGTGATGCTTCTGATAGAGATGCAGAGGCGGAGAGACACTGAGACCCAGCTAATCCAGTTCATTCAAATGTCCGTGCTACCGATCGCTGCTACAGAAGTGCTACCATCTGTGTCGAAATGACTTTACATACACCAATATTAACTTGGCCCTGAACAGTTTCTAGCAAGGTTTTGTGTGTTTCTAATCTCTCAGTCTTCTCTCTCTCTCCATCTTCCCTCCTTCCTTTCCTCCCTCCCTCTCTTCTCTTCCCCTTTGGTCTATATATAAATACTTCAAATGACCCCTTCTAAAAGTAAACTACCATAATCACTGTCCTCAGCACCCACCTCAGAGGCCTCACGCCATCCTCTGAGAGAAAACAAGCCATGGGAACAAGAACTGGATGCCCACCCTAAACCTACACACAGCCTGGCACCTTCTCTCATGGCCGAGCAGCAGAGATGGACTTCCCTTTAATGCTTGTACAATCACACTCTTCTCCAACCTCCACCTCTAATTACCCCCTTTGTAGTACCGACCTCTGCTTCTCCTCCACTCCTCTGTGTAAGCCCCAGAACTACTACCACCTCTCCATGTGCAATGAGAGGATCCAGTCAGAGTGACATACTCTTCCAGGTGTTGCCCCTTCCTCTCACCACAGCTGAAGCTTTGGAACGGACTCAGTATATCTACCATTGGCCACTTCCCAAGCTCTGTCCGTCATGTCTCAATCCAGTACTCACTGGCTGCTCCTCCTTACCTGTCTTGCACAGTCAATCACTAGTGACTGTTCACTGACTCCTAAGAGGACATATTCACTCTCACTGCTTTACCTCTCCAGCACTAAAGATCCAGCAAGCTGGCTTTTTAGTTCTAAAAATCTTCTCTTATTTTGGCTTTTCTGTCACAAACCTTACAGGTTTTCCTTCTACCTTTTGAGGGACTTTATCTTCTTCATAGCCTCCTCTTCCTCTCTGTCCTTAAATGTTAACTAAGGACGCCAGTTTCTATACAATGAAAATCAATATCTATCTATATCTCTCTCTCTCTCTTTCTCTCTCTCTCTCTCTCTCTCTCTCTCTCTCTCTCTCTCTCTCTCTCTCTCTCTCATTTTTTTTTCAAGACATGGTTTCTCTGTGTAACAGTCCTGACTGTCCTGGAATTGACTCTGCAGACCAGGCTGGCCTTGAACTCACAGAGATCTGCCTGTCTCTGCCTCCTGAGTGCTGGGATTAAAGGTATTTGCCGAAAAACCAAAAAAAAAAAAAAAAAGGTATGTGCCGCCCAGCAAAAAAAAGTTTTTGAGACTTCTTTTTATTTTATATGTATTGGTGTCTTCCCAGTATCAGTTTCCTCTTAGAACAGGAGTTAGAGGCAACTGTTAGCTCCCACGTAGGTGCTGAGGATTGAACTCAGGTAGTCTGGAAGAGTAGTCAGCGCTCTTAACCACTGAGCCATCTCTCCAGCCCCCAGCACTTCTCTCTTTATTCACAAGGAACATCGTTCACTCCTCTTCCTCTCCTTTGAACAGCAGACCCTACAACTGCCTTATCCAACATGTCCTGTTGGAATCGTGTACTCCTCAGCGTGCCTAAGAAGCTCCACGTGAGCAAACCCGGCCTATGTCTCACTGGCCACAACCCTCCACTTGATTTGCACCGCAGCTCACACCCTGTCTCACACAACCACTCTACTCTGCCCCACATTATGTCTCTAAGGGCTTTGCTGCTTCTGGACTTAATCTAGCTCCATCCATTCTCTACTTTATGGAGCTAGAGTGATGCTATGAAGATACGTGTAGGAATATGCTACTAACATGATTACTTTCCTACTTAAAAATTTAACCTGCTTTGTCTTTATAATATATTCAGACTCCCCGATCTCTAATCACACTATCACGTCAATTTCCAATACGCTGAACTGCTTTCAACTCTTCCTGTAAACCATTATTTTTCTTCCCTTGACCGCTAGATCCTTGCCATAGTATAGTTCATTAAAACATTTCCCTTTTCTATTTCTCCACACCTCTTTGGTTATCTCTTTATATATACTCAAGGCCTTGGCTTCAACAGCAACTCCTCCAGTTGATGGATGGAGTGTATGTCTATCAAGTAATCTTCATATGCCACATAAGACACTTATTTCTTGTTGCCCATTGAACTACGTACTTTTCCCAAAGACTGCAATCAATAAGAACGTAGCAATTTGTATGTTTTCTTTACTGATGTATCCAGAGTATCAAATGTATTGCCTGGCACTCAATAAATACAAGTCATTTACTGAGTTTGCTGACAATATGCAACAAACACATTTTACTAGGTTTGCAAAGAGACGTTTGCTCAAAGCCTCATGAGTAAATAAAACTTTTTAAAAATTGCTTCCACTATATAACAGAAATAAAAAGAAATGTAAAAGTAGAATAGGCATTTCCTCAAGGTAAAAATTAAAAAAAATCTCTTTGAACAGTTCAAGACCTGATGATCATTATATCAAGAAACAGGTTCTCATGAATATGCTCTCCCATCTCAAGAAAAGACAAATTCATCTCAGTACCTGATCACTATAACTTATCCCCTTTGTGTTCAGTTCTTTGTTAGATGAGCGACTCTTTTGTAAGATGTGACTAGCCTAGTGTTGATATGTCAACCGGATCACCATCTCCTGCCTGCACTGTTCCCAAGAGAAGAGAGTTCAAAGAACAAAGTGGGTGGTCAGCACAACAACATGGGTGTACTAATTTAGTCTCCTGACAACCTGCAGCCCTCTTTACAGAAAGCAATCTTAGAGCCAGTGAGTGAGCAAAGAGCCAAGAAAAAGTGCTGTCCTCATCTGCCACAGAGACACAAAAAAGGAGACTGCTATGGAATGTATTGTACCTTCTCCAAGTCAGACGTGGAAGTCCTGACTCCCTGTGTGGTGGTATTTTGAGTAGTCTCTGGAAAATAATCACATTTAGCTGACATCTTGAGGGTAGGACCCTCGTGATGAGATTAGCTCCCTTGTAAGAATAAATGCAGATATTTTGCCTTCCCTCCCTCCCACCTCCACGGAAGGATAAGCTGTCTATGAGCCATCAGGACAGGACTCGTTAGGAACCAACCACATGGCACCCTGACCTTGGACTACTGTCCTCTAGAACCATGAGGAAATAAGCTTCATCCTACGGTTTCTTATAGTAGCTCTCCATATGAATGGAATTCCACAAACCAGCTCTAATTCCATTTTGATTCAACAGTAGTATCTTTAAGTCAACACAGGAATGTTGGTCTTGAAGTTTTGTTTTTGTTTTCAAATAATACCTTTTAGTTGACAATTTTAGAAAATGAAAATCAAAACAGGAGCAAGGGGGCATAAAGAGCTTACTGGAATGCAGTATCAATCAAGGGAAATGAAATAAAATGATACTTACCACCACCAAGAATGTAAGAATCCTGGCGGCTCCCCCAATGTGATGTTTTTTTCCCATCTTATCTAAAACGAATTTAAAAAAATATTAAATACTTTTCTTGTAGTACTTTTCCCCCACACATATTACCAAGCAATGCTGTTCCTCATTTAAAATCCTAAGTGATTTTAAGTTCTTCATCATTTTCATGTTATTCTTTCTTCAGGATTTCCAAGTACTCTTTTACATAGTAATTAGAAGACTAAATGGGTGTGTGAGAAGATGCCACCATAACTGTCTTGAATTTGCTTCTCACCGCTTCAGTGATCAACGTTTGTGTCTTGGTGCTCCAAAGGTCCGTGACTGGGGAAGTGTTAAGTTCTCACAGAGCAGCTCTGGGAGGAGAATGAAGGGAGGAGGAGGGGAAAGAGTTGCTAACGCTGGGGCTGCTCCATGGGGCTGCTCCTCCAGCATCGATGACTGAGGATAGCAGCTGGCTCCACTGTTTCCAGCAGAAGCAGGCTGGTTTCTTCCTGACCTAAGATGCACAAATAAAACGGAGCAAAACCTCTCCTCCAAGAGCGGTAGGTAGTCCATGAGGTTCCCTGAGCTCCTCAAGTCACTGAGGCCAGGAAGCTCACTCTTTCCTTAGAGATCAAAAATACAGCCACGGAAACTCTCTTACCCATGTTTTTGTAAGCACAGCCTCTTTGGTTTCATCTTTCAGTCCTGATGACTGGTTATGGAAAGGAATGATTCCATGTAAACATATCACTTCAATGTTCCTTCCATGCTTTTTAAATGAAACAGTTTAGCTATTTTCCTATGCTTCTGCTGATATATTTAGTGTGGTTTTAATTAGTGTGTCTAGATCCTCATTGATATCACCAAGCCACAGCACTTCACAAAAGAATATTTAAATTGCATTCCTTTTAAGCAGAATGAAGCATAAGCATTAGCAATGTGAACCCAGGACTAGTTAAGACTCTTCTTTGCCTCTGTTTTCTCATCCATAAAATAAGCTAGTAATTACCTACCTAAAAAGGGTTTTGAGAGGATTAAACTGGTTAGTACCTAAAGTCACTTAAAATAGTGAGTACAGAAGTAGTGGTAACTGTTAGCTGTTGAGTAGTCTGCTCTTATCCTGAAGACATTCTCACAAAAAGTTGATCTAGCATCATTTTCACCTATACCAAAACAGTCAGAGACAACATCACACAAAAACACTTATGTGTTTAGGTTTATACTAAACAAAATTAAACTTACTCATCACAACAGTGTAAAGTACCTTTGTGGATATCATATGTACAACCAGAGAAGAGAATACAGTTGTAACCACAAGAGGACTGAAACAGAACCTCAGCCTTGAGGAGCTTCCTCCGATGGGGAGGCAGTCAGCAGGTGATCACAGCAGAGCCTGCTCTTGGAGATAAGTGGACATTGGACTGTGGGAACTTTGGAGGGTGAGCTTTAAACCAGTCTGCAGAGGGCAGGGAAGGCTGCCCAGAGGAGCTTCCTCAGTGCAGAGCACTGGCACCCGTTTCCCTCCCTACATCTCCCCCCGACCCTCTAACACCCAAGAGGAAGTGACTGTGCATCCCTGCGTCTCCCCGACCCTCTAACACCCAGGAGGAAGTGACCACGCATCCCTGCGTCTCCCCCGACCCTCTAACACCCAGGAGGAAGTGACAGCGCAGTACCCATGGCAATTACTGCAAAAGCATTATAGTGTCCTGCTTGATTTCAGCAGGAAACTTCTGGAACAAGCTGGGTAATAGCAAGCTTGATCCAGACAGAGGAACGTCTCTGGGGAGGCCTCTGCTGAGGAAGAATTCTCAGACTTCACCATCCAATCACTCATTCTTCCTCCACAGCCACATCAATGGACCATGGCTGTTTCTAAGCAAAACTCTACACAAATGCTTGCGATCCTTCTGTTGTAGTTAAAGCTGTATTCAGGAAAACAGAGGGAAAAGAAGGCCACTCTCCTCAGAGCTGGAGAAATGAAGGGAAGTCTACCTGGACTCTCCACTGAGCCTTGAGTGGTGATCTAAAGCACCTGTGACAGACCAGCATCCTGTCCTTCTGCTCGGGGAGGAAGAGATGAACATTGGTGCTCTTTCCCAGCAGTCCCCTGGCAGATGCTCAGCTACCTGGTCAGCTTCCAAATACAGACCAGCATCCTGTTCTTCTGCTCGGGGAGGAAGAGGTGAACATTGGTGCTCTTTCCCAGCAGTCCCCTGGCAGATGCTCAGCTACCTGGTCAGCTTCCAAATACAGATGTGTAGGTTTTGGAGTGCTAGATGACTTAAGGGGTACCTCACTCAGACTGAAAACATACAGGCCATTGTTTGGCACCACACTGGAGAACAAAGTCAGGTTCCTTTGTATTTTAAAGGGAAAGGTTTATAATTCTGGTTTGGCAATTACAAACCAATGGAGAAGATTAAGTATGACACACTTAAGAGAGCTCCCACACAGTGGGAGGGCAAGAATAAAGTTGTAAGAGAGAACACTGAGAGATGTGACTAGATGAGTATGCAGGAACCAGATCAAGGGACATTTTGAGACTCAATTTAAACCAAAAAGGTTGAAACGTCTGGGAGAAACATGGGGAATATTCTTCAAGACACTGGGGTAGGCAAGAAGGTTCTGAATAGAACTTCATTAGCAGAGGAATGAGCCCCAAGTATCACAGGCTGGGGACTACATGATGTTAAAATGAAACCATCAGTACAGCAAACAGCCCACAGAAAGGGGGGAAATCTTTCAGCTACACTTGAGACTGGGGCTAACATCCAGACTGTACAAAAACAAAAACAAAACAAAACCTGCAAAAATTAAATACCAAGGAACTAAAACTGCCAGTCAACAAACGGGCTAATGAAATGAACAGACAGTTTTGAAAGAAAGAAAGACAAAAGGCTAATGACTATTTTTAAAGTGTTCAACATCTATAGTCATCAGGAAAATACAAATCAAAACTACTTCAAGAGATCATCTTAGCAGCCATAATGCTATCATCAAGACATTTCACAACAGATGTTGGGGAGGATGCAGGGGCAAGAGACCCTACTCACTGCTGGTTGGAATGCCAATTAATAAGCCATTATGGATATCAGTTTGGTTCCTCAGAAAGTTAAAACTAGACCTGCCACATGACCATGGAGTGGTTATTCCACTCCTGGGGGTGTGCCCAGAACACTGTATTTCTTTCCACACAGATATCTGCACTTCTCTATTTCCTGCTCTATTTCCTATAGCAAGGAAACATAACAGACAGACAGCTATCAGCAGATGAATGGAGAATAAAAATTAATAAAGAAAATAAGGCTTTTGATGTGAGAGTGTGGGGAGGGGCTAGGAGGAGCTCCAGGGCCGGCAGCTACGAGAAGCTGAAGGAAGGAAAAAGAAGAGAGAAAGTAATATACTTCTATTTCAACTAAAATAAATGCCAGATAAAAACAAAATTGATTATTACTCAGGTATAAAGAAAAAAATGAAATCACAAAATTTGCAAGAAAATGGATGGACTTAGAATGTATAGTATTAAACAAGGTCACCCAAATTCAGAAAGAAGAAAAAAATGGATGCTCTCCCTCCTATGTAGCCTATAATGTAAACACCTGTAAGTGTGGAGCTACTTTACCATTCAGTATGAAAACACAGAAGGGTAATCAGGTGATTAGGGGGGACTAAATCAGATAAAGGACACATGAGTCATGAAAGAGATACAAAGCTAACAGTTTCTGTAGTCTCAACTCTGTCGTGTTTTTATTTATATAATGGATAAGTACATAAAATGTACATGAGCGTGCAAAAGCAGAAGCTAAGCCCCACAGCTTCAGAATTTAGAACTGAGCACACTTTTTTTGGGTCCCTATCTTAGTCTAGAATTCTTAAGTACATAAGGTGTAAATGAACTGGAATTTTAAAGTAAACAACTAATGTACTACCAACAAAATAAACAAACAAAATGTAACAGCAATCTTAAGAACGCTAAATACTCAAGCAATCAATGAAGTTAGGAGACCAAATGTAAACAATAAACACAAACACATCATATAAATGTGAGGTAGATTTTAATTTGAATTCCCCTAAGTAGTAACATTTTTTTATAAACTGTGCATTTTTGTCTCCTTGTATCTGTTAATTTCAGTCCCTCATATCCTTTGGTTCATAAACACTAAGGAATATTACTTAACTAATATTGATGAGAAATAAAACTCTGATGTCCTATAGATATAATTTAGTTGAAAATATTTTTGTTGCTCTCTCAACCTTTTGCCTTACCAGATCTTTATGACTTGTGTCTTCATTAAAGGGCATAAGATCATAAATGTGCCCCAAACACACAAATATTCTGAGCACTGGAATTAGCCCTATCTTACAAAGAACAAGGTTTTCAAAATACTGTTCTCATATTTCATGCCAGTTCACCTTGGCTTTGCATAATATGCTCATGAAACAAAACCACCACTGTTCTTACTAATAACAGAAAGTGAAATGCCATGAGGTCTCAGTGCCAGGCGCACTGGAGGTAGGATTAGACTCACGGTCCAACCTGCCCCGCACACCCGTCACCACGCAGTCTCCTAACTGAGCGACCAGCCAATCAGAAGCTCTTTCAGAGACAGTGGACTCTGAGATGCTACAGTATGTGTTTTCCTGATAGAGTCTTGTATCAGAAGAAGCCTGGAGATAATCAGCAAGGGTTTTAAAGCACTACATCTTATTATTCCATAAAGAATCCCAAATGCATCACATGTATCACTGCTCTCAGCCTGGTAACATATTTACTAGAAAGTGACCAGAGTTCATCTTTCCCATGTCAAATTAGAGTTCTGTACCAGAAGCAGCTGACTTCAGACTACCAGACAAAAAGAGCCTTCCTTTTACCATTACTGAATGAACAACACCTGAAGCCAGGAACGTTCCCATAGCCAGTGATAGCGCTACTTCCAAATTGTCACTAGCCACGCAGGGCTTATCTATGGAGAGAATGAAATCCTCTCACAAAGGGGCAAAACGGATTGGGGAAATGAACACCAGAAACAACCTAAGAAAGAAATGTCAACAGCAAATG